CAAGAGGAACTGTATGAAAGGGTCGCGGCATGAGGAAGGTGGAGACCCACTGTGTGTTCCACTCTGTTCTCTAGGGTGACTAATTTGGAATTGACTCCCTGACAGTGGGTTTTGGGGGCTAATTGGTGTCAACAGTTGAATTTGGTAGCCAACACAAAAAATTGGAGCTTAAAATCTACCCAGAACTGTTTCAGAAGAAAAGTTTGGAGATGTACTTCAACAAACATGTCACTGAGAACTCTGAGGATCACAAGTCTACTTTGACACACATGGAGTGGTCGTGAGTTGGAAATGACTCATCCACTGGTTAGTAGAAATAAATGACTATTTATTGTCATGAATGGGTCCATTGGTTTGTGGTACTACTCTTCTATTTTAACTACTATCTTACAAACTCTTCCGTCCTCATTTTATTTGCTGCTAGCATTTTTCTTTTCTCACCTCTAAATAGTGTAATATATGTGACTTTAAAAACATACTGGGTTTTCCTTTTCTTGATCAAAAGCTCTTCACAGGCAACCACATCTACTTCTGTGTTATTAAATAACCAATACCCTGGTAGCTCCGAGACTTCTCTAACTTGCATTTTTCATCTATACTCCAGACTCCCAAATCCATACTTTAACTCAATATTTCTTCTTGGTCTGATCTCATAGGCAATTTAAGTTAAAATTCCCTAAAACTTTATTTCCCTTCCCATAAAGTCTTCCCCTTAAGAAGCATAATATTAGTATCTTCAAATGTAAATGCCGTAGGCAGTCAAAACACGTGTGCTAAGATCCTGGCTCTGCCATTTCCTGGCTGTGTGTAAACTTGTGAAATGTATTTGAACTGTATTGCCTCTGTTTCTGCTTATGTGATAAAAGATACATCTATTGATTATCTCATAGAGCAATTAGAATGTAAGCACTAAAATAATGTCTTCCATAATCTGTACTATTTATAATTTACAGTACAATAAGTGGGAACTTCTCAGAACCCTTGTGGTGCTGTAGGTTAAGCATTGGACTGCTAATTGCAAAGTGACAGGTGAGCCCGTCTGTTATCATAAAGATCTGCAGTCTCAGAAACCATAAATAGCAGTTCTGCTCTGTCTTAAAGAGTCATTATGAGTCAGAATCGAATTTAGGGTATTTTGACGGCTCTAGTTGCCCCAGTCGCCCCAGGGGCAA